TTTTAGGTTTTTAAAGAATTAGGATTTTAATTTTAAAGTATTGTAAAGCGCCATGGACAATTAGTGGAAAATGGCGCTATATAAATGTATATTTATTTATTTATTTAAAGTGACCTCGAAACTGGCTAAATTACCTCCGCAGGCTCTGAAATTTTGCTATAAACGTTGAACGCTGCCAAAACACTTGTCAGCTTGTTATTCTAACAAGCTGAATGTTTTACATGAAAAAGTTTCATCGGTCTTCAATATTTTAACGGTTTATCAATTTTATTCTGTCAAAGTTTGCCGGAATTATGAATTTTCTAAAATATCTCCTACCAAACTCCAAAATGTGCGAAGCGTGACTTACCTAAAGTTAAAAGCTATTTTCTCAAATGTGGGACCTGCTCTAGAAACGGATCTATGATAACTCAAAAGTACTCACATCAATGTAAAAACACATGGAATAAAATCTGTGAACACTCCTCACTGTGCGCCGTACAGAGCTCCACGAATTTGCCAAATATTCGCCAATTTGACGGCAAATAAAAATAACGGCGGTCCCACTGTAACCAAAAAACATGAACAGTAAACGCTTGGAAATAAAATAATCATCACTACAGGTCAAATTATGGAATTTTAAATTAGATTATCCGCGGTTCAGCCGTTGTTTCGGGAAAATCTACCTTCATTTGGTATTTTAAACAGTAGAAACGATGAATATTTTTTTCCATCGATATGCAAATTACATGCACTGTAGCCGGGTGAGTTTTTCTTGCGATGAGACGACCAACTACTTAAACTGATTTCTTTTATACATTTTCTAAGGCAAATAATTCATCTTTCCAGAGGGTAAAAATTGTCCCAGCCTCCTTGCAAAAGCTTTTCTTACCGGTTAGTGAGCTCTTTTCACTTCTCACGATGCGGTAACGCAATGTTTACTTTTCAAGTTTCAGTTTTTTGTCTCACTTTAATTGAATTAAGCCGACGAACCAGGTTGGCTCTTTTGTCCAAAACTACCTCTTCTCGAGAAATTCCGTAGTATACAAAAATTTTTGCTGCTGGGGTTACTTAAGTTAAAAAGGTTTTGCATGAGTGTATTTTCGCTAGGGGTACAATCGCAAAAAATTTTGTTTCATCCTGAATCTGCTACAAACTAAAGAAACCCGGTTTCTTTTTGGTTTCTACAGTAATGCGCCATATTTCGTGATTGTGCACTTAAGTATATGTTAAAGTTCCGTTGGATTTAAAGATAATTTTGAGTATTGCAAAGACTGATAGATTTGCTATTTTAAATGCTCTTTCTTTCGTTATTTCAAGACTGTTAGATTGCTCAAAACGTATGTTGATCTACATGTATACAGCTAATTATTTAAAGGACAGTACAGCTGTTTGATTGTCTTTCACTGCTTGTCTCACTGCTTTGATCTTCCAACAATACAGGATCGGGTTTAGAGACGAGTTTATTAAAACTAGAGTTTCTGTAAGTAGCGAAGAAACTTCTTTTTCCATCCATTTACATATAGCACAAGGTCGATCCCCAAGGAGTATAGCAGGCAACTAATGCCAACTGCACCCATGAAATGCTAGAAACTGACTTTCTATTTCTTGTTATGTTCAGTGGGATTTCTCCGTCGTTCGATGGCCCTTGAGTGACATGGTTTTGTACTTGGGCTTGTTGATGTCGTAATTTGAAGAGAATCGTTGGGTAATAGAAGACAGAAATTATCAGAAAGAACGGAACTAGAGTAGAGGTTGCTTTGTGGGCAATACCGGTGGACATGATAATTGCGGATCCAAGAGAAGCTGACCAATAAACCGAAAACAAATGATGACAAGACGAACGCGCCTTAGTGTTACGACACGTTTGTATCTCAGTCCCAACAACAGGGCGAGAAGGGTATACGGTAACCTTAAGTGTAACCGCAGTAGACAGATTTGAAATATAATTTGCTTGGAATTTTGACTGCGAAACAAATTCATTGCCTCTAGTGTTTAATTCCCCAAACTTGACGCTGGTGAGGATTCCAAGTGAAAACTTAGGATTGTGGTCCTACTTGTTTAGGACAGACATTTAAATGTTTTTATCCATCGAAGTATTTTCTTAGGGTTCTCCCAAAGTACTGTGTGTTACGTTCTTTATTCTTTATTGAACAGATCAAACGCGAGCGAGAGCCTATAATCACGTGATCTAACAGGAATACATTAGCAGAGATAACAAGATGTAACTAGCATACATTAGTCACGTAACACTGTGTTCATGTTTTAGATAGATCTGGCATGAAATACTTTGTGTTTTTACTTATTTTTATAAATAAAATCAGTTGATTACTGTCTTTATTGTAGAATATATAGTATCTTATAGTGCTCAAAGAAAGTTTAAGCCATGCCAAGAATAGCGATAGTCTTTGGACTAAAAGTTTCCCTCAGCTGAGTAAAATTTGCCAGGTTCCTTCTTATTCTGCCCCAGATTAAACAAACCTGGGTTACCGTTTGGCCGTTCTTCTACTTCTTTGTTGTTCTTCTACTTCATTAACCTGGGCTAAACTGCAATGCCATTATAACGTTTCTTTGGATTTGAACAATGAAGGTAATTTTGAGCAATACAAGAGGGTATCAATGGGATTAACCGTTACCTGTTAAACAGGTCAAAACTTTAATCTTTAGGAGTAAAAATTGGAAAATTTTAACGGTTAGCCGTCGAAATGTTTTTTAGTCAAAAAAGTGACAGTCAAGAATCTGGAATATGATAGATCATTGACATAAAACAATGAAGAAGAGACTTAGGTCTGTGCAGTTTATCATTCGCGCGTTACTCAGAGAAGTGTCACACCGGCAAATTTATGGAACTTTGTAAGGAGACGCCACTTGTGCCAATGGCATCAACAAGGCAGTCGTACATACATACATACATACATATATAAACTTTATTAACGTGTCTTCATATCTAGCCGATGGGGAAAAAACCCCTCTACTAATTGAGGACACTTAGTATAATTAATCATTTATCTACTATTTTCTAATGAACTATTAAAAAGCCTGGCAATAGTAAAGTAACAAAAACATCTCTGACTGGGGTTTTCTATTGAAACGAAACGTTATTACTCAAGAGATTCAATACGTTCAAATTAACATTTTTTCTAGTGTAAGAACTGATCAGTGAGCAAAATCTAAAGCGATGACTCATCTTCAGAACTACGCAGCAGCCTTCTCGGGCCACCATTTTAATGCCACGCAACGCTAAAGCTAAGAAAATTCAAAAATGCTCTGTTACAAAACCGGAGTGTCCTGTCGAGCTAAAACGTTGTAAAACGTCACGTTCTTAGAGTCTCTTACACCTGATGGGACTTAAACCTTAGAAGTATAGGTAATTTTCAATTTTGGAATATGATTACGTCACATGATATCCGGCCTAGCAAAAAGAAATCCCCCGCGAGTCGTTGTTTTGGTAGTCTCCTGAGCCAGCCGATTAATGTTCCCCTCCCGCTGGAAGCTAAATATTGCTTTTATTGTTTTGAAAAATGAGTTTAAAATGAAACAATGATGATGTTGTGTTAAATATTCAAATCATTATCTTAACAATTTGCATTTTAAATGTAGACTTAATTGATTAAATTGTTAGTATCATGTCAAATTTGGTTGGAATTGAAGATACGTTTGAGTATTGCAGTTTGTAATAAATTAATGTATGTTAAATCCTCTTTTCTTTCGTTATTTCTAGCCTTATCAACTTATGCTGATCTCTACAATTTATGATTTTTTTTACAAATTTAACAGTACAGCTGTCTTATTGTGTCTTTCACTGCTTGTCTCACTGCTCTGATCTTCCAACAATACAGGATCGGGTTTAGAGATGAGTTAAAGAATACTAGAGTCTCTGTAACTAACCATGAATCACCCTTTTCTATTCCGTTAACATATAACACAACAGCAATGCTCCAAGGAGCATAGCAGGCAACTAATGCTAACTGCACCCAAAATATGCTGGAAACTGACTTCTTGTACCTTGCCATGTTCACTGGAATCTCTCGGCCTTCGTTCGCTTGTCCTTGAAGGACTTGAACTTGTTGATGTCGTAGTTTAAAGAAAATCCTTGTGTAGCAAAAAATCGAAATTACCAGCGAAAGGGGAAGGAGAGTAGAGGCGACTTTGAGGGCGATATCACTTCTGGAAATTCGGATCAATCCAAGAAAAACACTAGTAAACCAAAAACAAATTGTAGCTGCACGAACTCGCCTTAATGTCACGACATGTCTGTATCTCAGTCCCAACAACAGGGCGAGAAGTCTGTCCACACTAATTGCGGTCGACATCAAGACAGATACTCCACAAAAAATCCAGCTTAAGGCATCACGCACTCGGCTTATCATAACTACCTCCTTGACGTCCATCTTTATCAAGGGAGACATAATTAACGTTGCATACAGTGGTTGCACAATTAGGCCAACACTGAGATCAGTGACCGCCAGACATCGAAAGAAGGATTTCGTCGGAGGATAAATAGAAGAGACTTTGTGAAGAGAAACGAGAATCAGAGTATTTCCCAGACATGCAGTGATGCATAGAAAAATGTTGAAGGCTGAAAACAATGCAAGTGTACCTCGTGGTGATGCGAGGACTACTTGGTTCAGTTTGCTTGCGAAGTTTCCATCTTCCGTAATGTTCGCCATTGTTCTTGATTGTTCAGAAAATTGAAGTTACTATGAAGAGCGCTGTTAGTCGATAAAAACTTTAGTCAGCTTGCACCTTATTATCGGACAGAGAATTTTATATGCCGCTGATACCACACACAATTGAGGGTTATAATTGTTTTACGCATCTGTGTGTATAAATAATGTTCACCATTTAAGGGAGACGATCTCTGATTGGATTATGCAGTCATCAGTTTGCACTGAAAAGTGATCGTCGTGATAGATATGTCAGTTGCTGCGATTTCTTTTTCAACATTGCTTCGCGTTAATTTGCTGTCGCCTCGTGGATCAGCAGTTTCTTTGACAATGTTATGACGACATTCATAATCAATGACAGGACAGATACATGAAAAAAGGACGTCAATTTGTTATATTAATCGTACGCATAAACAGATCGGACTTTTCAGTAATTTAAAAATTAGTTAAATTAGAAAAAGTCCGATCTGTTTACAAGCACAATTAATCCGTAATTGTTTCGAGAAATTAGGACCGATTTCAATTTCAATAATAAGGCAATCATAACTACAAGCTTCTATCTGACATCTTTTCGTTAGACAGGGTTAAAAATTGGAGCCACGCTTGATTAAATATTTTAGTTTTATCTTTTTCTGAGCTCGTCAGGAGGCGGAATTCAACAAATCCTACAATCTGATTGGTTCCTGGAGCGGGCGGAATTTTCTCATCCGGACCGCCACAGCGGGCGGAATCCGTCGTGATGATCTATTTTCGTGAACGAAATAGCGATAATCGTCAATCTTTCGCCCTTTTTACACTTGCATAGACGATTAATCAACGCAAGTTTATCTCCATTCACCTTTTAATGACAAAGAAAGCCACTGTAAATAAATTCAAATGAGACTTTTGAAGTTGTGAGGGTTTGTTTGGCTGTTTGTAGCTCGCCTCTGTAATGGCGCGTAATCCTGCTGTGTCTCTCTCTGTACAATTAATATTTTAAGTAAAAAATGAGTCAATTTCAGTCGAGTTTACCTCTCTGATCGTTGCTGTATTTGAGAGAATTTCTGTGGAATACACTTAACGAATTTCCTCTCTATTTGCTACTCAATTTACGGTCGAAAACTGTGATTTTGAGTGATTCGCAACGACTGACAGAAATTGTTTTTGTAGTATAATTTCAAACTTTGCAAGGAATTTCACACCGGAAAAACAATTTTGGGGAACTGAGCTGGTGAACAAAATGCAACTAACATAAAGAAGTCCGAAATAAATCTGTTCTTTAATACATCTTTCTTTGTCTATTATCTGAGTTACTCGCTCGTTCGGTCGTTAGATTTTTTATGAATGGTTTGTAGACGGCGCGTAAGCCGATTCAATGACAAAGCTGCGTAAACAAACCCTCTTGTAAGCCAAATTACCGCAGGAAAAAAGATAAACATGTTATTGGCCGGCTTATGGTCTGTCCGTATAGTGAAAAACTGTGACCTCGGGCTTGAAAATGCTTCCCTCGGCCTGCGGCCTCGGGCAGCATTTGCAAGACCTCGGTCACAGTTTTTCCCTATACGAACCTCCCAGCCGGCCAATAACATATATTTGTAACTTTAATTTTCTCAACACTCTTAGCCAAAGTTCGTAAAATATTTTTTTTCTTTTGGAAGCGAGGCACAAAGACGAGCAAGTCACAAGTTTGCAACATCAAGTTCAATTCTCATTGGCTTTAAAGCTGTCAAAACTCTGAACGCATGAGCGACTTTTTGATGAATGATCTACAGCTACGGAAATGCACGTCGAAACGGTAAAAGTGTTATTTTACTGACAAAACTTACATGAAAACATTTTATGAAATGTTTACAGCCTTGATTTAAACTATGTCAGGGAGCTAAAGGTATAAGGACGAACTCATTCGGGTAAACGGAGATTAAACGTGAAAAGACAAGTGAAGTTGGTAATTTGTAAGGAGACGCCATTGGTGCCAATGGGCATCAACAATGCAGTCATAAAGTAACAAAAACATCTCTGACTGAGGTTTTCTATTGAAGCGAAACGTTATTACTCAAGAGGTTCGGCACGTTCAAATTAACACTTTTTCTACTGCAAGAACTGATCAGTAAGCAAAATCTAAAGCGATAACTCATCTTTGGAGAACGCAGCAGCCTTCTCGGGTCACCATTTCAATGCCACGCAACGCTAAAGCTAAGAAAATTCAAAAATGCCCTGTTACAAAACCGGAGTGCCCTGTCGAGCTAAAACGTTATAAAACGTCAAGTTCTTAGAGGGTCTTACATCTGATAGGACTAAACTCTTAGAGGGATAGGTAATTTTCAATTTTGGAATATGATTACGTCACATGATATCCGGCAATAGCGAAAAGAAATTTCCCCGCGACTCGTAGTCTTGGTAGTCTCCTGAGCCAGCCGATTAATGTTCTCCTCCCCACTGGAAGCTAAATATTGCTTTTATTGTTTTGAAAAATGAGTTTAAAATGAAACAATGATGATGTTGTGTTAAATATTCAAATCACTATCTTAACAATTTGCATTTTAAATGTAGACTTAATTGATTAAATTGTTAGTACTATATTAAATTTGGTTGCAATTGAGGATACGTTTGAGTATTGCAGTTTGTACTAAATAAGTGTACATTAAATCCTCTTTTCTTTCGTTATTTCTAGCCTCTTCAACTTATGCTGATCTCTACAGCTCAATATGGTTTTTTTACAAATTTAACAGTACTATACAGCTCTCTTATTGTGTCTTACACTGCTTTTCTCACTGCTCTGATCCTCCAACAACACAGGATCGGGTTTAGAAATGAGTTAAAGAAGACTAGAGTCTCAGTAACTAACCATGCCTCACCCTTTTGTATTCCGTTAACATATAACACAACGGCAATGCTCCAAGGAGCATAGCGGGCAACTAATGCTAACTGCACCCACAATATCATAGAAACTGACTTCTTGTATCTTGCCTTGTTCACTGGAATCTCTCCTTCGTTCCCTTGTCCTTGACGGACTTGTTATTGATGTCGTAGTTTGAAGAAAATCCTTGTGTAGCAAAAAATCGAAATTACCAGCGAAAGGGGAAGGAGAGTAGAGGCGGCTTTGTGGGCGATATCACTTCTGGAAATGCGTATTGATATTCAAGACATGCACCAATAAACCAAGAACAAATTATAACTACACGAACTCGCCTTAATGTCACGACATGTCTGTATCTCAGTCCCAACAACAGGGCGAGAAGTCTGTCCACACTAATTGCGGTCAACGTCAAGATGGAGACTCCACATAAACGCCACCCTAAGGCATCAGGAAATCGGCTTATCATAACTACCTCCTTGACGTCCATCTTTATCAAGGGAGACATAATTAGCGTTGCATACAGTGGTTGCACAATTACACTAAGATTAGTGACTGCCAGACATCGAAAGAGGATTTCGTCGAAGAATAAATAGAAGAGACTTTGTGAACAGAAACGAGAATCAGAATATTTCTCACACAGGCAGTGATGGATAGAAAAATATTGAAGGCTGAAATTAATGCAAGTGTAGCTCGTGGTGATGCGACGACTACTTGGTTCAGTTAATTTCCACCATATCTGGTTGTGCGCTATTTTCCCTTGCTTGGAGAGTATGAAATAATGTGTAAAAAGAATAAAATGCAAGTGAGAACGAATAAAAACTGCGGTAGACCCAGTTGAAAGAAACGAACGGGCGCATGGTTAGTTATATTTTATGAATAAATATCACAACTGAAAATAGTTTGTCAATTTAGCAATGAAAATAATTTTTTTTCCAACTCTGCCATTAAAATCCTTCATTTCTGCGTATAACTAGTAAGCTGAAGAAATATTGAGTATGCTGAAAAAATAAAGGAGACCTTTGCATCCACTGATGAATAGAAATAGAATTGAAGACATGACTGACCATCGCCGAGTCATATACACAACTCAAGCACTTGTGAAATTAAAGCCTGAAAACAATTTAGGCCTGAACGGGATTCGAACCCATGACCTCTGCGATACCGGTGCAGTGCTCTACCAACTGAGCTATCAAGCCAACTGGGGGCTGATCATGTTCAAACGACTCGAATTCTAGAATTTGTACTTCAGGGCTCACAACAGTGAAGCAGCTAGGGAAAACGCGGTAGAAACCAGCAGATCGAACTTTCAGTGCTAACAAGCACTGGCGAAAATGAAAACACAAAACTACGCATAATGAAGAACGCTTAGTACTACAGAGTGGGTTGCATAATTTCCAGGGGGTCACGGAAATTTGTGACACCCAAAAGCAAAGAAACTTCTAGTCGCTACACATGTAGTTTGCTATCAAAAGACATTTACGACTGCGTGATATGATGTTATTGTTCCCCATAGAAGGAAATAAAATTTACAGAAGAGCGTTGTTCAAACAATTGTGCAAATTAATCATTATAAGGTTTGAAAGAAGAAGGAAGCAAAGGGGAAGACCAAATGATGAATGACTGCTACAGTGAAATGAAAAAATAAGTTAGATAGAAAGCTAGCGTATCACAGTTAACAACACAAAAAACACAAGAACATCGGCGTAACTTTTACTAGAAAGAACTAACAACAAGAACACGTCGCGTTAAAAATACATGCTAATTGAAGGAAAAAAAAATATTTGATGAAAAAATTCATTTCACTCCAGAGGGTAGAATTAAAGATTTGTTCCAAAATATACGGAGGTTTAGGCCATGCAAACTTCTGGTACAGTTCATATTACTTTGCAACTCTCGAGCTTTTCAGTTAAAATACGTGATTTTATATATATATATATATATATATATTTTACTAAGAGATAACTTCCTCTGCAGGTGCTTTGAGCCGAAAAAGATGTCATTTCTTTAGACAAGGAATGTCCTATTCATGCTGGTGCCAATAAGCTAGTTTATTAAATATTTGTAAAGCAATATCCATAGCTATGTAAACAGTAATTCCTACCAACCGAATGAGGAAAAAACTTCGACCCGCTTATTCATTATATATACGCAGCAATAAAAGCCTTGAATAATTAAGCTTTGAGATTATGTTATAGAAAAGCTGGCAAATTTGGCAAAGCGATAAACTATTTTCAGCCGCTACTTGAGGCTTTAATCGAACATACGCTCGTTAATTAACCCACTGAACCCACTTCACCGTCTGTGTTATTGATTCTATCTGGCTTTCGTTCTTCACAATTTCAATTCTTTCATAATCCAACATCTCACAATTATCTTTTTCCCTATTTTAAAGTTATGAGTATACTAAAGATAAACGAGACTAATTAGTGTTAAAAAAGAAACTAGACAAACGGGCCAATGCGCAACAGATCAAAGCACCTGCAGAGAAAGTAAAACCTAGCTAAAGTT